TTTAAAATTCTTCATTTTGAAGTCGTACATGTTGTTTGTATTGTAATTAAATCACATTATAATATTGATGTTAAGCGCTTGCCTATCAATCAAGCAACTTTCAAACTAAAATCTCTACTAGATGATTCACAGGATTTAGAAGCTTTTCTATTCATTTAATTTATGTATTTGGATTACGGTGCTTCCGATTACTACATGAATATATTGTATAGTTCATCCACCATTGACAAAACTGAAATTGGAGAACTACTACTTCAGTGTGGTCCCTAGAAAGGGTTGATGAAATGATAAAAATAATGATGATGCGTGCAAATTTGCTTTCTCCTTTATTGCTTGTGTCCTGATGATTCAAACTTATGTTTGTTATGTTTATACAGATGGTTTTTCGTTTAACTTGCCAATGGAGACTGCTGGGGCCTAAGCTGTGAATCATGCCACTGAAGCTGATTGAAATGGTGATATTTCATTTCAATGGCCCATGGTACAATGTTAATTGTGAAAACATCTCGTTCTCATGCATGTTAATCTGTAGAATGTTCTATTATGATACCTCATAACATATACCGTTGACTAATGGCATTTTGACTAGTCTGTTTTAATGTTGAAGCTAATCGTTTAACAATTAGGAGTTTGGGATGGTAGTGACTAGTGCCATAGATGAGATGAAACTCTGTTAGACTGAATTATTTCTTTTGATCAAACTGGACATAGTCATCATCTCCAGCATCATCCAACGAGTTTGCCGTACCACTAAACTTTAGCAGATGGCTAATCTATTGGAAACGTGTTTGTAAATTTCAGTTGGTTTTACCAGTCTCTTCGTACTATTGGTGGTTCAGAGTCTAAGAGTTCAAATATAGAAGTAGAAAGGTTGGAAAACATGGAACCCTGTTGGTTTGCACTTTCATACTAACCTTAGGCTCCATCTACGTCGTTTCTTTGTGTCTGCGTGTATGCATGGGTGATGAATACGCCACAAAACAGTTTCATTTCATTATAGTTGTAGTAGTTCCCTAGATTTTGGCAGGCTTAGAAACTTCTATGCGTCTCATAATTAACCCGGTTTGCTGTAACAAGGCCCTATCAACCCCTACTACATATAAAAAATGTAGGCAAGCCCATTACTGATGATATTTCATATTGGAATTATAGGACACAGAAATACCCATATCTGCTCAGGATTGAACTAGCCTCTCAATGCATCAATTATTTTTGGGGATGCTTAGGCTGCTAGGCAATTTTCCCTGTGCAGTTGTTGAGTGTTTCAGGAATGGTTTTATATTAACACACCTTTTAAAATGAAAACCTTTAGTTGTGAAATATGCATGAACTTTTCACTACTACGTGTTGTAAATCTTAATTTAATTAGAAGAATAAAATTCATATTAAAGAAGTTGAAGCTTTTGGATAAGACTGTAGGAAGGATTTTGTTTTTTTTCTCAACGGTTTTCCTCGCTTGCCGCCGAGGCTTTGTTCTTTTTTTTCTTTGTTGCCATTGTCGTGTGTACATATTGTTTTCTTCATGAATTCCCTAGCAGATTTTTTTCTCAACATGAGAAATTTGGGGCTTAAGACTTATTCCACCAACGTGTAAATGCTAAGACGAGTTCACGAGAAACAGAGTTAAATATGGCGTCTGGATTCAATGCGTCAAAATTCTAATTCAACCGACCACTTCAAAGGTGGGCAGAGAAGGGTTCCTGATGGCGATTTTTAGCATCTTTTCTTGTGCTAAAGGAAACCAAGGCTGCCAGCTCCACTCTCTTTCTCAATGCGTCACTTTTGTTTTTTCCTCTTCCGGGAATACAACAAGGGCATCAATTCTGTCAAAAAGTCGCCAAAATTTTTAATCTTCAGTTTTTGTACAATTCTATTGAAATCATCATGCTTTAGGCAAAAAAATATCTCATTAGGTCGAACGAGAATCATTCTAATTTCACAAAAAAGACACTTTACAGGGAATCAAGAACAAATCTAAAGGAGTACATGAAAATACTGTTTATACACACACAAGTCATTATGAATTCGCACTGGTTTTTTATCCTCGGAATTTTTAGTATTTAATTGTTATTTTTGTTCATGTAGTCCTTCGATATTAATCCTTTGATAGTATTCCCGTTCACTCTTAAGAAACTGTTTGTCGGGCTTTTAGCAATGGAAAGCACTGTTATGCAGGCAATTCACGAAGAAGAGGCTGTAGCAGCGTGGACTTTCCTCAGTTCCGTCCGAGCAAGTTATCCATCATATCTTGTCCTTATTACCAACAAAGGAAGCTGCAAGGACATAATTCTTGCAAAGGAGATGAGAGGCTATCTGGCAAATACAATAATCTAAAATACTCTCCTATCTATAATGGTGTGTCCAAGAGGAAAAATGGAATCCTAATGCAATTGACAAATGCAATGTTGATAGCGTCAAGTGCTCCTTCAAATCTTTGAGGTGAAGTAATTTTGATTGCATATATACGTACCATGTGCCACAAAATGACACCATTTAAATTATGAAAGGATTATAATTTAGGGATGTTTAGTCTATCTGAGGTTAACCGATTTTAAAATACCTAAACTAGATATCATAGTTGTGACACTTGTGTTTTTTTTAATTTGGGTTATGCATTCCACAATATATAAAACCTATAAAATTTATTGAAAACGATGAGATTATTTAGTGAGATAATTTTAATTAGTTCGTAATTTAAAAATTGACAAAATAGATATTAAAACTATGGTTCTAAAAGAAGAAATTTATATATAGACATTGAAAACGATGAGATTATTTAGTGAGATAATTTTAATTAGTTCGTAATTTAAAAATTGACAAAATAGATATTAAAACTATGGTTCTAAAAGAAGAAATTTATATGAATCAACATGACGGCAATATAAAACATGGCCAAGATACCAAAGTGTGCAAACAGACTATATCCCTATATAGTTTAAAAGAAAAACCTCTTAAACACTAACATGAAAAGTTTTACCCTTACATGATTAATAATGTCTAGAAATCAACATGACGACAATATAATGTCTACAAGACAAATGAATATGACAATTAGTGCATTTATTATAATACTCTGAAAAATATTAAGGAAACATAGTTTCTTGTGATTCTAATATCCATTTATTAACTATTGAGAAAGATGATGACACTATAGTAAATAGCATTGATAAGGCATTGAGAGATGAATGAAATACTTGCTTGCTTTTTAGAAGTTAATCTTCTAAAATAATAACTTGTGGAATTTAAGATATATGCTAAATTGAAAAATTCAATTCTTAATCACTTTATTATTGAAGGACAAAATCTGAAAAAAATTAATTCAAAAAACTTATCAAAGCAGAAAAATAACAATAAAAGGAATGGAGACTAAGCCCAATAGGGGAAAAAAAATAAAGGAGGATGAAACCATAAAAAAATTAATTTTATAAATTATCCTAAATAAAAAAATAATAAAAAAATAAAGATCAAATATAAAAGATGAAAAAATTGAAGGAGAATGAAATTAAAAATAATTCCCAATTTGAAATAATTGTTTCAAATAAAAAAATTATAATTAAAAGATCTTGGACTTAATCTAAAAGGAAAATAAATTGAAGAGATGTTGTAAATTGTTTATAGGGCCACAACAAAAATTGAGATGAAGAAGAAAGAAATGAAGAAAAAAAAAAATCAAATCAGGGCCAAACTAAACTAAATCACCATGCACACACTATCTAGAAAGGACGAGGATACTAAAAGAAATCAAATGACATGGATGAAGAATGGTTTCGACAACTAGAGTTAGCTGAATATTTGGCTAAAGGCGACTTTTTCATTTATTTTATTTATTAAATTACCACATTTCTTCCAAGATTAAATATAATTATTACAAAAAACCTTTATAAAATTATAGAAAAACCAGTAAAGGCATGCTAAAAGAATTTTGATTCCAAGAGAAATTTAACTATTATATTGTTATTTAATATTAGAGAATAATATAAATCATATCTTGGAACCTCACCTAACAACTTAAGCTTTTGGGTTGAGATGATTATTAGATATAGTATCAAAGTTTTAATTACCAAGTAGTCACGAGATTGAGTCTCACCATCTTCATTTATTTGATAAAAAATTAAACATAAGGTAGTGTGAGTTTATGCAAGTTTCAAGCCCAAAGAACTTTCATTTTAAGAGATGTGTTAAAAAATAATATAAATCATATCTTAAAATCTCACCTAATAACTTAATCTTTTGAGTTGAGATGATTATTTGAGATTTAAAAAGTAAAAAACTAATTTTTTTTTCCTAGACCATAATGAAAAATCCAAGTACCATTTAATAATTTTGAAATGGAAAATGTATTTTGCCCCAAGGCTAGTGAAACCATTTTTTCCATGATGAACAAAGGCGTAACTTCACTGTTTCAATTCACAACGAATCACGTGTTTGCTAAATAGTTTTACCATACAGATTAGGGTTTTTTTTTTTAATTCACCGTAGATCACATATATCGATTGGCTATGGTGCCGATCAAGCTAGCAGGCTTTGATGGGTGACGTGTTGCTGAGGTGCCATATAAAAGGCTTTTCTTGTAGCTTACGTGAAACCTAACAAACCAACATGCAATTCTCTTTGTGTTTCAACGTTAATTATTCACGTTTCTAACCCAAGATTTTGAGGGCAAAGTCTTGGAAGTCACCTTGGCCAAAATTCCAGACACGCAGTGGCCTTCAAATTAGATTAATGGCAACGTACGACTTGGACTTTGAGATTGTCTTAGTTCTCAGTTTTCCACAAATTCGAAGAATTCTCGTGAGGATTCACGGGGCGGGCGGACCTAGCTTAAGCTGCAGGTGCCATGAAACCTCCAAACCTCACAAGATTCTCTACCCTTTAGTTTAATACATCTTGCCATGGCATTAATCCCCAAACCATCTCAGTCAACCCATGCCCCCCAACCTAGAAATTCTAGTTCCCACCCTTGTATGATTATTATATATAAACACACACACACACACACACCTATGTTCTCATCGAATGTGTATTACAAGAACAATGGCTTCAAAGAAATTTTTGTGTTTTTGGAACGCTTTCTTGATTGTTATACTTCTTTTCTCTTCTGCAATGGGATCAAGGGATCTGTCAGAGATTGCCAGGCCTCGTATGATTCGTAAGTCGCACCTGCGCGCATTCTTAATTTCTTGGTTCTTCAGAATGTTGCGAGTTTTTAATTCTATAATAGAAGCTAAATCGAAAGATGAGTTTATTTGAACATCTTGCATCTTCATAACAATTCTGAATAGAGATATTTAATTAGCTTAATCATCAAAGAAAAAGAAAAGAAAAGGGATATTTAGCTAATTACCTTTTAAAAGAGGACCAGAGAAAATCTTTTCTTTTTATAAGGATTAATTCTTCAGAATGGTCACTTAATTCATATGATTCCAACAGTGTGCTTAGGTTATTCATACGGCATTTAAGCCCAGATGACTCTATGTAATCTACTTCCACATATTAGGGCTAACTAAATTTCTTAAGTGCCCGAAGGCATAAACGCAAGCATACCAGTACCATATATTATCTCTGTTATAAACTCTTCTTTTGCCTTACTTACTCCATTGTTATTTGTTTGAAAAATAAATTATGTATCTCTGAGGTCCTCAAAGGAAATGAACTATGTTATTGCATAATTAATTTCTTTGTGTTCATGTAGTTGATGAGAAGGCTACTAGCACTCAAAGGGGTCCTGCATTGGACGGCCATTATAGGGTTGCTCCCCGCAACGGCTAATTAGCTGAATTTCATGACATCTTTTATTGCGTACACAATAACGGAAATATTTAATAGTTTAATATTGTAATATATGCATCTACAGTCAATAAATTTCTGTACGCATTAGTAAGCGTTGCTACCTTGCTATCCTGATTTTTGCCTGGCGTTATGGTGAAGCGTGGAGGCTGATATCAAAAGTTCGTGCTGCTGAAAGTTACTGTTACTATTAGCTGTACCTTTGATTAAGTTGTACTCATTTTGGATAGCCTTACATCTTCTTGTAGCTGGCAAGAGAGAAATAAAGGAGACGAAGATAAAGTATCTTTTATTTTATTATGAAGAGTTTCAATAGATTTCTGTAATTCCATATAAGATTTATCACTGAAAATATCGATATACGTGAGAACACTTTACATGCCAACTTCTTAGAAATTAGCCTTCACATTCTCAATCGATGCTAGCTTATCACGAAATTGAAAAAACAAGAATGCCACCGTATATTAATAACGACAGTCGCCTCTAGCAGTAGCACCATCAACAATCAGCGCTAGCAAAGGCACCATCAATAGCCATCAGCAACACCATCACCACCGCCACCTCCACCACCAACCTCCTCCCCCTTGCATCCTCACAGCACTGCTTTCCTACCATCAAATTTAATACTCTCTCCTAATTAAGAAACCCCATGAATGAAAATCGGAAACACAAACAAATGAGGTGGTCGTCTCTCTCTCTCACTCGTATTGTTGCAAGAGCAAAATAGAAGAAAATAAAATAAAAATTTACGAAGAATAGAGGCTGAGTCTTGCCACTTTGAACATATTAGTTGAGATTGGAAATTTAGTAATGGCCTCTTTTACTAGCTCTTCCACTCAACTCTTGGAAAAGGTAGTTTTTGTGATTCACTTCTAAAAAAATAAATTTTAAAAAATTATTTTTAATTATAATTGTTTTGATTAAAATACGTGTTTGATTTAAATTATGATTTAACAAAAAATATGTCCAAAATATTTAGTTAAAATAATTGGTGAAATTGATATTGATAATAAAATGATCTAAAAAAACATGTATTAATTTTTTATTTTACAATATATTAATGTGCATTTCATTATTAATATATTGTAAACAAGACTAATTTTATTGTCCTATTAAACTTCTCAAACATAATCCATATAAGAATACCTCTGGTTTCTATAAAGTTGTGAACATGGAATTATATAAATTAAAAAAATTCATAGGAGGGATTAAATTATGTAAATAATTGTTGAGAATTAAAACATTTATATATTTTTATCAGATGCAAAAACTTGGGTCTCATCAAATTTTTAATTTATGCAAAAATTAGCTAGCATTGATTTTTTGATTAGTTCAAATAAAAATAAGGTTATTTTGGTCTTATGAATAATAAATTCAATAATATAAATACAATTTAATGAAAAGCAGAGGAAAAACATAACAAAAATATTTAGAAGGAGCTTCTCAAAAACTGAATTCAAAACTCATGGTTAAATAGTAAAACAAATGCTAAATCATAGCGAAACGGGCTCAAAATCAAATTGAAAAGAAAGAGAGAATTAAGTTTGAGAAATTCAAAGAAAAGGAAAGGACAAAGCGACAATTAAAAAATTAAGTTTAGTTGAATATTCAAATCAAAGAAAATGAAAATTAAATCCATACCTTCTCTCAATCCCAATCAATTAATTAAATCGAAGCTCTAAATTAATATTATCACTCTCATTGTATATGCTTCACTACAATCTTTCCCCCTCAAATTACATGATGGTCTGCAATTTATATTTATATTTATATTTATACAGCTATATATTTTCATCCCTTCTTTACTGCTTTTCGTACAATGGTAATTAGTATTCTTATAGAAAAACAAAACCTTAAATATCTATATATCACCAAAATTCTTTATATCCACTGAACTTGCATTTGTTTTATAATACAAAGTAATTATCACCTTCTCATTTGTTAAGTCTTAAATAAATATATGTGAAACCTACTTCTATTTGTATTTATTATAAGTTAGTTTCTTTCTCTCACAAGTTAAGCACTGGTTATATCCTGTTTAGTTGTCCAGTAAATTTATTTTTAGATTATATTTTTTTAGAGTTTTTTTCTTTAAATATTTCTAATAAAATTTTAATTTTTTTACTTCACTTCATATTAATATTTTTAGAGATGTTTTAATATGAAAAATAAAATTTAAAAATAAAATAATTATTATTTTAATATATTTTTAAATAAAAAATATTTTAAAATACAACCTCCTAATTCTGAACCGCCTCTAAAGTCCTTTTAAGTGGCGTAAAGCAATTTTTGGATGCCCACATAGTTGGCATTGAATTTGTCAAATGGGTTGGCTGGTCAAACTCTTTGTCGTAGCCCTCCAAGATTCAGGGCTGCTACTTGCCATAGGCGAGGAGCTAAACACGGCAGCCTTTGTTACAATGGCCCGAGGAAGTTTTGTTTCTCTGGCAATTTTAATTGACTGGGTATTATTGCTGCTATTTTACAGCAAAGCAAGTTTAGCTTCAAATGCAGAAGTCGAGGCCTTGCTCAGATGGAAAGATAGTCTTGGAAACCAATCCATTCTCCAGTCGTGGGACGCCCCAGCAAATGCCAATTCAAGTACCCTTAGTCCATGCCAGTGGCGTGGAATAACTTGAGATAACGCAGGAAATGTAACTCAAATAAAATAAATCTTCCAAACGTGGGCTTGACAGGTACCCTGCAATACTTGGATTTCTCTTCTTTAACAAATCTTCTTCGACTTGATCTTAGAGAAAATCAACTTACAGGAACCATTCCATCTAGCATTGGAACTCTTTACAAACTCCAATATCTTGATCTTGCCACAAATTTTCTTTATGGTACTCTACCTCTTTCTCTTGCTAATCTTACTCAGGCTTATGAGCTCGACTTTTCCCGAAACAACATCACTGGCGTAATAGACCCACGGCTATTCCCTGATGGGTCAGCCGCGAACAAAACTGGCCTTGTTAGCCTAAAAAACTTCCTCCTTCAAACTACTGGGCTTGGAGGTCGAATTCCTGAAGAAATAGGAAATTG